GGGCAGCCTGTTGCTGGCAGGGGGGAGGGGGGGCAGCGGGCATGGGGAGGCACTTTTCCTCTGCCCGGCAGCTCTGCGGGACCCCAGTCGGAGCCGGCCCGAGGAGGAGGAGGATCCTAGGACCCAGGTGAGCGAGCCCCGGGAATGCTGCTGCGCATGTGCAGGAGTTGCCTCACCCCGTTCGTATCTAGGGATCCGACGTAAGTCGGATCCACGTAAGTCGGGGACTGCCTGTACAAAATTTAAACCCTGCATCAGTAGACTCCCTCAATAGCCACATAAAAAAGTTGCATAGTAGAGAAGGGAGGGCAGAAATGAGTTTGAAGATATGGGCTGGTCTACAAAAGGGGTAACATGCTACAGAGATTTGATTTCTAAAATGCACTTTCATATTGTGGCATTAACTGACACGTGTAGTTTCTGCTGCTGTGTACTAAACATTACCGTAAATTAGCATATATAACCCGCGTCCCTGTATAACACGCACTCGTGTATTACCTGCGGTTTTTCTTTCGTGTGTCAAAAAAATCTTAGATTACCCACAGACGTGCATGACCCGCAGGTAATGAACCAAGGGTAATGAACTGGTAATGAACCGCAGCTGCAGCCATTGAGCAATAAGTACTACCCTATTACTGGCAGGGGTGGCCCATGAGCCTAGGCAGACTAGGCGGTTGCCTAGAGTGCCGCTGGCCCGGGCATCTGATGATGATGTCACGGGGCGCCCCATGATTACATTATGGCCATTGATGGCCGTGCAGGTGGGGGTGCCTGTCAAGGCCATTGATGGCCGTGAAGGCAGGGGCGCCGATCACACCCTCCGCCTGGGGCGCCAGTGCTACAGCTGGCCTCGGGCCGCTCCTGATTACTGGTATATAAGCCCTACGAACCACACCGTTTTAAAATCTCTTCAGTTTATAACAAAATATTTGTAAGGATGCCTAAGTGCAAATCATATACAGTAAACTTCCAATAATCCAGCACCTTTAGGACCCAGGGAGTACCGGATTATCAGGTATGCCGTACTATCAGAAGGGGGGGCTATGAGGGGCCTGGGGTGGCATCCACCCCACCCCAGATCCCTCATAGCCCCCCCTTCCGATAGTCCGGC